GAGAGGTACAACCCACCTATCCTGGACTTCCCGTCTTCGGGTACGACAATAATCGCTTGCAAGAAAGTTCATCAGAGGTGCACAATCGGAGATTTATGGCGCGTCCTCGAAAACTCCTTGCTGGTAAAAGACCGACCACTAAGGAAGTAAAGAGCGAAACGATGACGAATGAGATCCCGGAGACCGGCATTGTTGGGAAACAATTTGAGGAAATTATTGCAAACATTTGGGGAATTTCGCCCCCAAAATAAAACGAATAATGTTGTAAAACGCATTTGTTCATATTTGTAAATATGTGTAAATATAGGTATTTTTGCTAGTAGTAAAAAATGTATGTATATATTTAGATTAGTTTAGATTTAGAGTATTTTTGTACAGTAATGTTAATTATAAAACATCTGAAAAAATTTAGTTTTTCATTTAAAAACGTGATGTGCAAGTTTGATTGCCACTTGTTGCGACAAACCACCATTCCGACGTTCCAACCCTTGTTTTGAATATTTCCTACTTAAGCTCCAGCAATGGTTTTCCTAAATCACCTAGTATTCTATATATAGGTACAGCGTGTTTCCTCAAAATGGTAAAAAGTGCTAAGTATGAAAGTTTTTTACTATTATGCACATTTGCAAATTCCGAAATTTAACATTGTAAGAGTTTGGTATGGCAACCGTGTGGTTAGCGAAATAGGTTTGCACTGGCAACATGGTCGCGGCCTATTTTGAGTTTAGACGTTTTTGGGTTAGCGGGTTTCGCCATCTTAAGATTTTGAGGTATTTTGGAATTTAGTGATTTTAGTAGTCTCGCTTAGTGAATTAATAAATTGCTGAAAGATAGTGAAGGAAGGAAAGTTTATCATTTTAATCGGCCACCTCTATAGATGGTAGTAGGAAAATCCTAAAAAATAATTAAATGCACCAGCATAACGGCTGCCAGCTTCATACCCGGCGTGAAAACCCTTTTGTCATGCGTGCACTTTCGCCGTGCTTTAGTAAATTGGCGCGAGAGAATCACACACTTAAAAAAGGATTTTTCGGATGATACGCTCTGACGAATCGATAGTCGCAAGGACAAACTGGACTAAACTGAGCGGAACTCACCCGGACAATCAAGGGGTTGTAAAACCTCCACCCTGAAAGAATCCTCTCTAGCATGGAAGACACATTTTGCTAAGCCGAAAAGCCCACTAGACACTGCTTTCACTTCTGAGCTACCAGTGGCGACACATTTTCGTTA